AATACGCAAGAACATTTCCTTGCTGAAAAGAATTGCTGAAGATTTGGATGGTCAACAAGAGGAAATTAGAATGTTAACTCATCGCTGGGGGTTTATTAATTGACTCAGCAGTTCTGCTTGCTGCAACAATTCAGAGAATCCAACACAGAGAAGCCAAGACAGACGTCTGTCTGCTGGAGGATGTACATTGCGAGCTATTAGCAAGGGGAGAAATGGAAATCACCTAAATGGCTATCCACAGTGACATTACATAAACTATGAATGAAACCAGTGCTGTGGCCCCCTATGCAGTAGCTGGGAATTGTGGCTCTGAGAGAGAACTTGATCTTGCTGTTAGTGGAAAAGGCAAGTGACGGATGGGTGACCATGGACCTCTTATACGTAACAAAGCCACAACACTGCTCCTGCGTATACATGTGTCCAGAAATTTATTTAAACGAGCGAAAATATGCTGTGGTAAAGAACTCAAACACAGTATGTGTGAGTGATTTCTCCATATAAAAGTGCTAGAGCAGGCCAGCCACGGTGGCTTCCACACCTGTAATCCTAGCACTCCGGGAGGCAGAGGCCGGTGGATCATTTGAGATCAGGAGTTCTGAGCAGAGCAAAACCCCCGTCTCTACTAAAAAATAGAAAGAAATTAGCTGAACACGTCAGCCTAGCTCACAACAACCTCAAACTCCTGGGCTCAAGCAATCCTCCTGCCTCAGCCTCCCAAGTAGCTGGGACTACAGGCATGCACCACCATGGCCGGCTAATTTTTTTTTTGTATATATATTTTTTAGTTGGTCAATTAATTTCTTTCTATTTTTAGTAGAGACGGGGTCTCGTTCAGGCTGGTTTCGAACTCCCGACCTCGAGCAATCTGCCCGCCTCAGCCTCCCAGAGTGCTAGGATTACAGGCGTGAGCCACTGCTCCCGGCCTGGTCTTTTCATTTTCTTAACAGCATCTTTTGAAAAGTAGAAGTTTTAAATTTTGATAAAGACCAATTTATTGATTTTCTTAATGAATTATGCTTTTATTGTCATCTAAGAAATTTCTGCTTATCCCAGGATCACAAAGATTTTTTTCTATATTATCCAGAAATTTTATAGTTTTAACTTTTATATTTGGGTCTATGACCCATTATTTCTTTTTTCTTTCTATCATTTATTTTTCTTTTATTGGTCTTGCTATGATTCCCAGGCTGGACTCCAAATTGTAGCCTCAAGTGATCCTCTCACCTCAGTCTCCTGAGTAGCTGGGACTGCAGGCATATGCCACTACCCCTAGCTGCCTTTTTTTTTTTAATTCTTCAGCTAAGACAGCAGAAAAGATGATTTATTGTATACTTGTTACACTCGGCCACTAGTTCTGAGAGCAGAACTAGTCTAGAATGTCCAGGGCAAAGGAACAACAGGCACTGTTTTGGTAGGAGCAAAATGGGTCTCTCAGGGGTGGTCTTGGCGATTGGATGGCGATAGAAGTTCTAGATCCATTGCCAGACAAGTTCTATACAGTAGCATGCAGCCCAGAAACTTGTACCCACGTCCCCAGCCTCTGGCATTCCATATTTCTGCTCCTGTGGCCTCCATGTGTGCATAAGCTGGTTGTTTACTTGGACCTCTGCCTCATCTTCTTTTGCATTTCAGCCTGTGCAGTTGCTTCTTCCTCCACTTGGCTCCAATGGCATGGAGGTTTCCAAGAAGGTACTAAAGGCAAGAGAAAACGATCCATTATTTTTAAATATGTTTTTAAACAGAAGTGTATTCATGTATACTTTGTGTAATAATAAACCGACTGCAAATGTTTGGTGTACCTCCCTCTGGGCCTGACTGCTGGTCTGGGTGAGGTAGAATACCAAGAACACTTTGCAGGCCGGGTGCGGTGGCTCAAGCCTGTAATCCTAGCACTCTGGGAGGCCGAGGCGGGCGGATTGCTCGAGGTCAGGAGTTCGAAACCAGCCTGAGCAAGAGCAAGACCCCGTCTCTACTATAAATAGAAAGAAATTAATTGGCCAACTAATATATATATATATAAAATTAGCTGGGCATGGTGGTGCATGCCTGTAGTCCCAGCTACTCGGGAGGCTGAGGCAGAAGGATTGCTTGAGCCTAGGAGTTTGAGGTTGCTGTGAGCTAGGCTGACGCCACGGCACTCACTCTAGCCT